TATGCTCTCACAACCCGGACAAGCCAGGCAGGTGCCATAGTCGCAGGTCGGAGTGACTCAATTAGAAGCTGGGCTTGATCGAGGTCTGCTGATTTAGAAGAGGTGCTTGGAGTTTGGGATGTAATGAAGGAAGCTGGCTGCAGTTGGACTAGCAGCACCACCACCACCACCGGCAACTGCAGTAGGACTAAGGATGAGGAAAAGTAGAAATTACAGCAGCATCCTCCCTACTAGCTGCGAGCCAGCAGCATCGGTGCCAGCAGTCCAGTCGGCGACCACAAGATCAGCTCCCTGCATCGCACGGATCACACCGTAAAGGCTTTCGTCACACTCGGAGCAACACCGGATTAAGGCACAGTTTCATCCACGGAATCCTGAAGGGCTTCGTGGGAACGATAGCAGAGAAGCCTCGCGGGTAGTTCCAGTAATCAACCGCTTAAGAGGCGCCAAAAAATCATAACCCTGCCTCCCGAAACCTAATCCCTAGACCCCTACACCCTCAATCCCCAAACGCTACACCCCTTCACCCCTTTACCCCTACAGCTCCAAACCACCCCAAAGTGACGGAGTCCTGGGCCGAGGGCACCAGACCGGGGAGGCTGGACTGTGACTTATTCGGGAACTGGAATGCCTCGTCAACCAGGTCAGCGTTTAGGCTTTACGGGCTTGGAACGAGTGCGTACGTAGCGATTTGATGGAAGAAATGCCTAATTATACCCCTCGACTACTGACTAACAGCAAGGAGGTGTGTACATGTTGCCACAAAACATTTATGTCTAACTGCTCTGCCACCTAAGATGCATGCTCGCGTGTGGTCGTGGCATTCGCGTTGTTGGCTTTAAACACCACTCGGCACTGTTGCCCGGCCAAATCTCCGCCGAAAGACATCTCGGTGTTCGGCAGGGACACAGAGTAGACGGAAAACTTCACAGGCGTGAGCTCCGAGTCAAGACCGTCCTCTTGCAGCTCTCTCTTGCTGACACTTGGCAACTCGCAGACTCCGTCGTCTGGTGAGTCTGGAATATCCGCAGTCTCCGGCCCAATTTCTTCAGTGGCCAGACTCTGAACTTCAACATCGCTGGACGCTCTTGTTCTGGAGGGCACAGCGGGGGGAACACCTGGGTCTCTGTTCAACGACTAGAACAGACTCGATCAATGAACAAAGAACCCAACACAGGATTTCCTTCTTGTCGCAGCCTAACCTAAGCAAGCCCTGAAAACCGCTGTTGCGATGTCTTGATCCTCAATCGAAGAAACTTTGAAAAAAAAACGTTAATCTCTGAATCACTCCTGTATATGTGTGGGGTTCTAGGGTAGCACCCTATTCTGATAAAGCCATTTCTGCCCGAGGCGCGGGAGGTGCTTGTGGGATGGCCGCCTCTGAGAGCCCTCACTTCGTGCTCGCATCGCTCATGCTCCTCCAATAGCTTGGCCAATAGGGTCTGGATGCCAGCCACCTGCAAAGCGGACAGCTGACTGAAGGCTTTGGAGTTTTAGCAAGTGCGGTTTTGGTGTCTCGGCACGTGTTCCACAAACTTTGAGACAAGCAAATCCCACAAGGATACCTAAGGCGGCTCAAGCAACAATGTCTTGGACATTGCCGTGCTGGCTCATGTTGAGCAGAAGCGGCTTCGCAGTAACTGCATCCATCGAGGTCTGCCCCGCCCCGACAACAGGTTTGCACAAAACCCTCGCTTGTAACAAACATGCGTCACAGTTCTCTCCATCCCAAAAAACTCCAAGCAAGCATCTTGCGAAGCCCTTGTCCAAGGGTCTACGAGTCTACGGCTTTGTTTTCCATCAGAAACGGAGGCTTAACCTGAAACCCTCTCAAACCCCGAAACCCCAAAGCCAGACTAGACCTCGAACAGCTGCAGAGAGTTGAGCCGATGCAGCAGAGGAGCGAAATGACTTTCCGAAATTCAGGATTAGTGAGGCTCAAGAAATTAGGTTCAAGATGGTGTAAGGTTGTTGGCCTACCAGGCTTAGGGTTTAGACGGTCGGGCCAAAGGCTTGACGTGGATGGCTGGATGTAGAACTCAGGATAGAACCAGGGTCTGAGGATTCACGCCACGCGACCCGAATTTCACGTCAGAACACTGGAAGTCCGAAGCCAATAGCAAACAACCAGCATCATCACCCAAACCCAAGTAACAGCTACACGTTTGATCGCGCGTTCTGAGCGCGGCACATCATCGTCTGGTTAGCCCCTGTCTGCGTTTGCAGCCTCGTTGAAGTCGGCTTCAAGTGGATACCATCAAAGTTGTGAAATGCGAAACTTGATCGAAACCTATTCCTGGGGTGATGAAAACAAGGTGCCATCAAAGCCGTGACGTGTGCAATCCATACGTACAATCCGATTCCGAAGCCTGTGTGGGGTAGTGAAGGGACGGTGACATCAAAACTCTGCTGTGTAACATCTTTTTGAAACCTCATTCCGAAGCGTGCTCTTATTTCGGAGTTGGAGGTGGGTGGGAGGTCCCAAAAAGGCTTGAGAGTAAGGATTGGGTGGAGAATTTGCCGGAACATCTCTCACGTGTACACACCATGCATGACAAGGCCCTCTCATCCAAGATTGACGGAGCAACACACCAGGTGGCAGGCGAGGTGTTGGACATCGCAATCCACATGAGCCTCTACGTTTAGCTCCAAGGATTAGAACGACTCGCAAGCTTGCGCCACTCTTATCCAGCAAAGGACTGCTCTCGACAGGGCGGCAATTGCACCGCATATTGCCTGCGGGTAGGGATAGGTACGAAGCAGAACGCGGACGCAAATGGCATCTGATACCATTTCATCATTTCATCCTTGAAGGCTGATCTCATTGGGAAATTAGCAGCAGCCATACGGGCTTTGGAACTAGCAGTAGAAGTGGTTGCTGTGACGGAACAAGCCATGCTCTTCATCCTGGACCGACAGGTTTGGCAATCCCCCAATCCCGTAATCATCATTGTGTAGTGGTGCCGGCATAATGGGAGACTACAACTACTGTAGTTCCACAGCGCATGGTGAGGCCAACCGTAGTTTGGAAAGGAAGGCTCTATGATCACTGTTCCGACTGCAGGACTTTGTCCTGGCCGGGTTGAAGCAATCCTTGAAATTCCTGCGCCAGCTCGCTGAGCGCCACGGAGCATTTTACTCAGCTGTCGGAAGCCCGGCGTGGAATAGTCGCGGCGGTTGATCTTGAAGAGGAGGCCGGATGTGAGCACCGGAAGCAGCTCGGCATGGTCATGTCTGGAAAGATTTGTGAGGAAGGATTCAATGAAGTCTTCACGAGAGCATCAAATGTCAAAACACTGACTGTAGCATACATCCTCGCAGCTATCATCACCCTCCGCCCTTGACATGGCTCCACTCGTGCGTATGTGCGCTTCGCTCGTTTCACAAACAGCCCTCATGCCGATCAATGCCGATCATCCTGTCCTCAACCCTACACTCCCGGCTACAGTCCCGAAACTTAGAACCCTCTTGAACCTTGGCACTTGCACCCCTAAACTCAGAGCAGGTTCAGAGCTTAGGGTACTTCTAAACTAAAAAACTGACTAAACCTCTACCTGAAGCCATATCTCAATTGTGCCTTCCTTTCGCTTTACATTTGCCACTAGCATGAACCCAAGCCTTCATATGCTTGACAAGAAAAGCCACAAACCGAACCCCGAACATCCTAGAATTAGGTTTGTCATCATCTCTGGAAAGTGAATGCTGGAAACTACAAAAGACTTGATTTGCGAGATCTTAGTGGTAATATCTGAAAGATATTTGAGAAAAAATGTGAGAGCTTCGGACAACTATAGGATACATTTAAGAGACATTTGCGAACACATAGCAAGAAAATTGCACGGTAGTTCCTGGATTTCTATGAGAATGAGGTAGCAGGACATCTATTGGTTCACCAGGAAATCAATAGGAATTCGCTAATTTCTGCATAATTTATTTTCTCGCTGATTTAGCACTAATTCCTCGCTCGTTCACTCATCCGCTCGCAAACAAGCCGCAAGCAAACCACTAATTAATGATTTGTTTGGTGGTGGCCTCAGGTTTACATGGTGCGAAGGTCACAAGTTAAGTAATCCTGTATACCCTAGAGCCGTAGTACCCCCACCCCCCGTCCCGATCCTACTCGATGCTACACTCCGCCCACAATCCCATGAATCCCGAACCTTTACAATTTTCAAATCTTTTTGCATCTGGATTTGTGCAATCGCCAGCGACTGTCAACCCAGGGAACGTGGTAGATCTGAGACACTTCTCACTTCTGAGACAAACCCGAAACCGTATCCCAATACACATGCATCATGGGACCTCAAGCACCGTGAGATTCACCGTCAGCCCCAACTAACTGTCTGGCAAAGCTTCCGGCGTTGGTGTGTTGCCCGCACTGCCTCTGTCAGCGACCCATGTTAACAGTGCAAGGTGCAGTTTGCCGCAGGTACACCCAAGCCAATTCAGCCACAAGAAGAAACAGCAATGTGGTGGTACCGACCTTGACAACCTTGTGGGCCCTTTCGGGCCGTGCAGGGAGACTGAGTGGAGCCGAGCGCCGGCTTTTTGCTTGGGCTATCGCGGGGTGGCCAACGCGACTTCAACACAATCCACCGTTTGCTTCCTGGGTGCGCTGAACCACCAGTCGGTGTTCATCCTGATCTGCTCAAACGCACGATGCGTAACGCAACACCCGGGAAGGAAGGTCTGCAAACACATATGACGAAAACGAAATAACATTGGGCGCAGTTTATCCAGTGATGAAGTTGGATCTGGTCTTTAGCTGCGCGTTTTTTTGTTTCCACGAGCTGGTGTCTCAGCCCCAGGCCACGATGATGAACACGAAAATGACCCTCTTAAGGCCTTCGGCCTCGCGCTGTGCATGCTTCAAGGGAGCTCCGCACGAAATGGCTCTGCCTGGAATTGGTATGTCCAACTCTGGCATGAACTGCTGCAGACCTGGAAATGGCTTTGCATGACGCAGTGGGGCGGGAGGGAAGGCGGTCTTCTGAAGCTAGCCTCGTGCCAGCCCGTCCTTGAGGATTCTATGCGGCTTGCCGACTGAAACGGAAAGTTGAGACAGTGCATGTGGCGACCCACCAGAATTCGATTTGCAAGCATCCCAACATACCAGCAGCAAAAGCGAACCGAAACCAAATTGGCGTCATCAGGCGCCGTTTGCATAGAACAGCATTGCGCAAGGTGCTGACTATGACTATCAGTGCTGAGCCCCATGTTTTCCAGCACGTTGCATGGCCTCTTTGGCTCCAGGGGCAAGTCTCCGCACTCAGCCCAATACCGCCTAATTCGGGAGTTTCCAGCAATCTACCTCAAATGATACAAACGCTCCCGAAGCACTCTAAGATATATGTGCCTCATCGTATCTGTATTGGGCTCTCTGGGCAGTGGCTGGCTGCAGACCACGCTCTGCCTTTGCACACGCACAAGACCCAGCCAAATTATTCAGCCCACAGAATTGAAAAGAAAGGACGTTGGGCAACGCTTCTGCAACATTACTATGTCTGCCTATGCCTATGTAGCCTATGCCATCACACGTTTCAAAACTCTTATTCCTGTGACGATCACGAATGAGATTGTCATGCCTACTAGTGTTATTGAGAGCTTCGATGGAAAGCCCAGCAGGCTCAACTCGAGTCAGAATCTTCAGACGAGCACTCGCTGACGCTTTGGAACCTCGACCTGGGCAGAAACGCTCAAAGAACAACCAGAGGCTTAAACGACTACCAAAAGGAATTAGAACAATGATCGATTCTTACAGTGGGAAAAACAACAGCAATACTATCGAGTTTAAGAGTGGTCTTAAATGAAAACACTATGCGAACATTAACAAGCATAAGAAAGCAATCAAAATTACACATGCAAAACAGCAGCGGTACACACCATACGGAAGTGCAGCCGAAGGACGTGTGCTTTGACGACGGTGCTCTCAAAACTTTGAATTTTCGCATCTGAATGCACAACTTGTTGCGCGTCTCGGAATGCATTTCCGTACCTGGTGAAACAAATGTGGAGACGCTAACGCGACGTGCTTGAAGGCATCTCTTGCAATCATCCTGCAATCTCAACCTCAGTTCGGACAACATACGGGCGGCTGGGTGTTGGGTTCTCGTTCAAAGATTGCAATCTGGTAATCTTATATCATCGGGAACTGGAGCGTCCTCACACTCGGACTCGCCGATTTTTCTTGCCTCCGCATTGCTGAACGAGTCGCTAGGCCGCAAGGCAGGGGGTGCAGAGGCACATCCAAGCCCAGATTATTGAACCGCGACCCCGATTTGGAGAATTACCAAAATCAACCGGTATCTGGGACGTGTTGCAGCAAAAATGTGCTGTTTCTCATAGCATAGTGTTTCCATAATCTAAACCGCTTGTTGCTTTCAACGTATATAAACTGAGCAACTTCATGTGTAGTGCATCCTCCTGGCTCCGTGCCGACCGAGCGAGGTGCAGGAGCTGGTCTTGGACGTTGCCCCAATCCTCACACACGGCGTTGTGGGTGCGTGGAAACGAGCAAGCTTACGAACGATTGAGTGATGTTGCGAAGGCGCAGATCCTAACAAACACGAAACACGTATTGGCATGCGGTACGTGAGTGTCAGCTTTGGCCATCCAAAGTCTTGCGGCTCTTACATGCCTGCAATGGGAAGGATAGATGACGGGGTGCATGAAGCGAGGCAAGTCGTCAACCCTTTAATCGGGTCCCAGCATCCGTGGGCTGAACGAGGCGGCGTAAACTGGGCATGGAGCTGTCGTCACTATCACGCCGCCGAACGAAGCTCAGGTGAGCTTGGTCCACATCCAGCAGTGGCGTGGTAGCATCAACCTCGATTTCTGCCAAACCACAGCAACCTAGAGCTTTGAAGATGGACTCTTCGTTCGACATTTACTACATGCAAGAAGGCAGACCGCCAGCGACTAGCGGTAGGCGGCTGACCAGCAAAGTCATCTCCTCCACTTCCTTGCCAATCTGCAGCAGGGAGTGTGAAGACACCTGCAGGCGTCCAAGTCTGGAAAACCAACAGCCGGAAGCCGACATATTCAATGCTCCTATACTGATTAAGAGCTTCAGACACTTCTCCGAACAGGTGTTTGGTATCAGCATGCCATGCTTACCTGCAGGCCAGCCTGCGAGACAGTACCGTGACTGAGCGGGGCATTGCTCCTCACTTGCACCAAGCACATCCAAGCACACTAGTCACATCTGCCCTGGCAACGATGTGTGTCCTATGGTGCCTGCCACAGAACCCAGTTGAAAAACATAAGAGTCATGCTCAGCTGCAAATTTGCCAACACCACGAAAACCTTAGAGCGATTTACAGCTTTTAAGCCCGCAACAACAGATAGTGAATAGCGGCCGCAGAGAAGCTGAGAGTGAGGCAAATCACGACAACAGTAATCAAAGCACTGCAACAATCATACCAAATTGCTGCTGTGAACAACAGCGCTAAGTCCGCTTTGGCCCCAAAGACAAGTGTCCGGAAATATGCACTGCGCCAAAGCAGGGAAAGCTGCTGGGCACGCCTAGCGGCGGCACCTGCGAATTCAGACATCCTACCCCTTTGATGCCAGACCTGGTAGTGTTACCATGTGTTACCAACTGTTTCGTGAAGAAGACGAGTCGTACGCATATTCACCAGCATCAGGATCATGATGATCATATCAATCAAAAGTCACTACTAATAATCATCACCATTTTGAATCCAGACTCAAATCCTACCACCATCAGCCTCGATATAAGCCGCAGCTCCCTGAAAGTAGCGTCCTTGATGATCTCCTGTCGCTGGATTCTGTGTGGGCAGGAGTGACCTCTACATCGGCGCCAACGACCTCAGTGTCTTTGACGTAGGAACCCGGCCCCTGTAAATTCTGGGGCTTATATTCGTCCCCTACAACAACCTGTCAAACCCTGAAGCCCAATAGTGTTGGAACCTGATGGACACCAGTCATCATCCCATGAGGATTTAGAACCAAGGGGATTGCTAAGGAGAGGTTTCCTGATCATTGATTCAGCTTGTACAGCGAAAACCGATGTGTTGCGAACACAACAGTTATGCCACGGTCAATAGAACTTAACGAGAACCCTACGCTACACGTGCTGGTTCGGAAGAGACACACAAAGACTTCGACATGCAATAAAGCACAGGGAAGACGGAATAGCATCGGACAATGTGAACGCGCGGTTTAAACTCAGCGTCATCTTGGCTCGTGGTAACTTAGTCCAAGTTAACCTACGAACTCCTTGTTACAAGTGTGATGCCTGGATACATATTATCCTGTTCAGGAACAGAGAAACTCAATATCAACCAAATAAGGCAGCCGAATCACCTCGAGAAGAGATCTTGAGTCGGAGTCTTCTCGGAGTGCAATCAAATGATAAGTTTCCTGTCTGTGGCTGATAGGTTTCATCTTCATGAGATTAATTGAATTCGAAAAACTCAACATGTTCCCAAATTGTCGACCAATTTCTTCATCCAACATATGCGGCACGTGGAATAGGTCAACCCCGACCGGTGGGAGCGCCGAAACCGAACCTGTTGAAGAGTTCCTTGGCAGACGTTTCCTGGGCGCGAATCCGCATTGAACATAGTGGGCTTGATTTAGACTATGAACAGGAAACAAGTTGCCTACAACATAACATGTGAAAATCAGCTTCCCCCCCCTCCCACTAGGTACACTGTTCTTTCCAAAGCAGTGAACTAAAACTGTGCTGAAGAAACTGCGTGCATTGGCCCTGCAAAACAACGCGCACATGCCCAGGAAGTGTTGTAAATGGCTAGGTTTTGATTGTTGAGTTTCGGAGTATGCATGACGCATTTTTGAGGACTGCTTCCTGTCCTGCAAGGTATACAGGGCTGCGGGCTTAGGCCTAGGGTTTAGCGAGTAGCTATTGTGACTACGGCTGGCTCCCGGAATTGGTGTTGCTGCCGCTGCATCTGAGCTTCAAGGACACTCGTAAGCAAGGAGGAGCACTGAGGCCAGGAGCGTTGGAGTGCTCAGACATGATAAAGCCTTGCGTCGAACGGACGATGCAACACACAAGCCTGTGGCATTTTACTTGGAAATGCGCATTTTGCAATGACGAAACAAGTCCTCATAAAAAGCCGCCCGAAGTGGAACGTCTTCGCTCTGAAAAAGTTTGCGCTTGTTGGAAACTATTTGTTGACGCTGTCTTCAATGAGCATTGCAACCGATGCAAGACGGAATGCGCTACACCGACTGTTGCAGACCTACCAGGTCGATGTGAAGATTCCGAAGACCACTCAAAGACGGATGAGCAAAACCCGTAGCATCGTCAGAATTCACGACTCGGAACTCCGAAAGCGCTGCCGCTCATCCTCCACCAGCAACTCTTCGAAGTTCTCGTACAAGCAAGAGTCTGTGGTCATCAGCAGAGTCCTGAGTCTGAATTTCCGCAAAGGAACTCAAAGACAAGCTACCATGTAGTCATATAGTTAAGCCACATAGAAACGGCAGGAAATGCCCGCAATGTAACAAATTGAAGTACATTCCCTCAGGAAACCAGGGCCTCTCCTCGATACGATATGCACATGTAGTTTGTTGTTTAAATTTCCGCGAATCAGAATAATCATACTAATAGCGATCCAAGTGCAACGCTTCAACTGCTCATAATAATCCTATTGTCCTATTGTAGAGATTGCAGCATTACACTAGGTAGCCATAGCCATAGTATTGGGCAGTTATGGTAACAGTCATAGTTGCAATACTACGTATCATGCGTGGTATCAGTAGTTGCGTAGCCGTACGAGTGGCAAGAGTAGTCAGTCGTGTTTTTTCCTCGGCTGCCGTCAGCGCCGGGCATGCAGCCTCGTCAATATAGTGTTTAGTTCTCTAGGTCTGCACTACTGCAGGCAAACGAAAAGAAGCAGTGCAGCGCACACCTCTTTTTCCGCAGAGGTTGCTATGTCTGCGCGTAGCGAGGCCTCTACCGCCGAGCTGTGCAACGCGTTCTTCCAGGCTGAGCGGTGCATGTCCAGAGGGCTGTGCTGGCTGATCCAGGCCAAGTTCTGTGTAGAGTGCTCGCGCCTGGGCGACGCGCCCCTCAAAGGAGCACAAGCTGTGCCATGCTAACAGGAAAGACCGCAAGGCTGCGCGTTGCCGAAGACCTTGTGCCAGCCATTCGCGGGCTGAAAGTGATCTATGCATTGAGCAGTATGTCAAGAGCGCATGCTTGCAACAAGTGACGCGCTTGTCATAGTCTGTTAAGTCCCAAAAAACGTGCTCAGCGCCCATGCAAAGCTGTGCCCTATCTGGCAAACTGAGGCATCCCAGACGAAAGCTTGCGGCACGGGCAAACAAAAGAATCTCGGGCAACTCCCCCAACACGAGCTCTACAAGGCTGGGCCCTGCTCGATAAATACGCAGCAGCGCCTCAACCAGCTCGACGTGGCTGGGCGAAGCGCGCGGCGCTTGTAGGGCAAAGGGGCGGAGCAGTGCGTGGCTTCTTGTTCCCCTGGCGGCGAGACACGGGCATAGAAAGGAGAAATAAATGTGAGGCCGGAGCCAAGCAACTGTGCAGTGCAACGCGCGAAACAAGCTGCAGAGCAAAGCGGGCGATGCTAGTGCCTTGTATCAAGTTACAAGGCGGGGCTAATGCCGTCTGTTTGTTCGGGCAGACCCTCAATGACTGCAATGCGGCGCTCAAGGGCACATATATAAGCCCACAAGCTTTGCACTCGATAGGAAAGTTTATCTATCCTAAGATGAAGCTGCGCGGAGCATTCCAGAGTATCCTCGGCCAGCTCCTGAATAGCGTTAAAGAGCCTGGCAGCGCGGCGGGGCGACTGCGGAGGCACACGCGGGTCCAATGCCATGGCCAGGCCATGGCTGCAGGACCTACTGTGTGTCAGTGCTATGCTGTGCAGGCAAGACGTAAGGGCGAAGAGAAATTTCTCTGCGGCGCTGCTAGCCCCAAGTCATGCGTGTTTTCTAGGTTCGAGCCACGTGTTGCAGTGCGGTGCAAGTTGTGCCATCGTGAGAACCTAAGAAGACACTGCTGACTAACTAACAAACGCACAGCGAGCGTGCAATGACAGCTCGGGGAGTAGACAGCCGCATGGCGAATCGGAGCCGTGAAGAGATGCTCAACTGGATGCCGAACGGCCCGGCTCTGCTGTGCGGGCAGAGGAACATGGGTAAGTAGTGAATCCGGGCACTTCGGCAATTCCGCAACAATGGCGTTGGGAGGGGGAGCCCAACAACTACGTGAACGTGGGCTTAGGCTGCTTGGCTCAGGCTTTGTAACAGAACTGTTGTTTCACGGCGGGGGTTGCCCGTCGTGCAGGCTTTCTTGGTGGGTGGCTGCCGTGAAAGTACGGTCTGTGCGAGGACACAGAAAACGCAAGAGGCAAAATCTCTTTGCTTTGCTTTGCTTTGCTGGGCCCAGGCCATCCCTGTACCCTGCGCGCTCGCGCACCCCTATCCCTGAGTTTCCAGAGTGGGGCTCGGCTGTACGGGGTTTGCTGCCCTGAAAAGGGGAGTGCCCAGGTGGGACGTTGGCGTCCTTTGGAACGGCACGATGTGGAAAACAAGCGGCAGCAACGGAATATGAAAAGAATTTGTGTTCCTCGAGCTCAAGACAACTGGAAGGTAACGTAAAGAGGCTTGTGTGAGAAAAACACGCCTGAATTGCTGACACTCCACTCTTATGTTGGGTTGGGGCGCACCACTTTGATTCTTAGCGATATGAAATTCTCGAAAAGCCCCTTCAGCGAATTCAAGTTGGCCTCCTGACCTGTTTTCAGGCAGGTGCCTCTAGTAGCGAGTGGGTCGAGTATGGTCGAATTGTACATGGACGGAGCTTCGCTCCAAGTAGCTGGTTCGCTGGTGATTGTGTACCACTTTGCTTGCAACAAGGTTGTACTCCAGATAGCTCTTGTCACGTTTGTTGGCTTTGTCCATCCGGATTGCTGTCTGCATGACCCTCTGTGCTAGCCCTTCTCGAGGTCGTGCGCCCCCTTGGAGCCCACGTGGTCGCTTCGGTGGTCCACCGGCCCACCGGCTGAGCTAGTCGTGTAGTACCTGGTACCCAATGTGTCGTCTTGTGTGGCCCACTCTTGGTCTTCGGTCTTCGGTGTTCCTCCCACGTCCCTGCCACACGATCACCCCCTCCGCGGTCTCCCCCTCCCAGTTGGGTGCTCCGCTGTGGTCTGTGTGCCTTCGCCTCCTTGAAGAGCCGGTGGATCTGCAAGTCTCCACCTCCATAAGCCTTTAAGCCTCTCTTACCGGACCGGGCCTGGCTGCTGGCACGCCTCCATAAGCCTCCAAGCCTGCCTCTACCTGCCCCGCTCTGTGCATGCGCCAAGCCCTCTACAGTTGAGTCGCCTCTGTGCAAACACCATCTCCTGGTCGAGGTAGCCTCCTGGGAGCTGGTACAATCTTTGCCTATAGGCATATGCCCCAAAGCCTGCGAGCGGAGGGAATCAATGATGAGCAGCGCGACTCGGTCTCCCACGAGAGATCCTTCCTTGCGCCTGTCATCGGAGAGGCTGATCGCACTTATATTCATCCAAGATGGGTGCTGCAGCTGGCACCTCTGTGCATATGTGCTCCATCGCTGCCTTGGGGCGGAGTGCAAGGCAACTGGTATCAGGACCATCCCGTGGGAGCACCCTCCCAGTGGTACCTTGATCCGTGCAGGCAGGTGCTGGTTGTTTTTCACTCGGAGGAGCGCTCTCAGCTCTACGCTGCCGCTGAACTTGAAACAAACAGAGTAAAACCGTTCTCTCTGACAGGTCGTCGCCGTACGGTGCTCAAGTATGCTAGAATACAAGAAGAGACGGGGCACAGGCTGGAGGACAACTATTGGGTCGCATGTGTGCCGAGATGGTTCCCACGCATGTGCATCGCCTGGACATGTGCTCTTTTACGAATGGTATGGATACCTTCCCAACACGATCTCAGCAGGACTTGTACCTGCTCTTTGATGCTTCATGGCGAGCTGACAGTCCCTTTAAAATATGGACGGAATCCTGGCGCTGGGCACCGCATAAAGCTCGACCCAGCTATGTACGAGACACATACCGACTGGATCACGACTTCGCTTCAAGTGTGCTGTCGGCGGTATATGCTGGAACCCTCTGCCGGCCAGAAGACTTGAACATCCTGGATTGATCTTGTGGCGAACGCTGTCTCTGACCGGCTAACTGTGACTTGGAGTGGGAAGAGGATGGATGCCTTTATGCACTCCGAGCTGTTTGCTAAAGTGAAAGAAATACGTTTGCCAGCGCTGCCTGACATGCCGAAACAGCTGAAAGTTATCCTCGCAAGCTCTGTGTGCTTTCCGCACTCGGGGCGGCTTGGGTGCCATGTGCAGTCCCTCGGGACGGTGTGGATGCCACACCTCAGAAGCTGAAGTTGCTGCTGCAACAGATCTGTTGCGGGATAGCCATCTGTTTCACTCTCCGATGCCCGCCAAGGCGCGAGACTCTCGCGCGAGCGTCTGAATGAAATGAATTAGTGGTAGTGGCAGTGGTGGTGGTAATAGTAGTAGTAGTAGTTTTTGTCACCNNTGGCACGTCGACGACAGCACTGCAGGGTCGTAGTAGTAGTACTAGTAGTAGTAGCAGTAGTAGTAGTAGTAGTAGTAGTAGCAGCAGTAGCAATAGCAAGAGCAGTAGTACTAGTAAGGAACACGAAACAGTCGTGGCAGTGAAACAATAAGAGCAATGAGTACAGCAACGGTAGTAGCAGGAGGAGCAGTAGCAGTCGAAGCAGCAGCAGCAGCAGCAGCAGCAGCAGCGGCAGCGGCAGCGGCAGCGGCAGCGGCAGCGGCAATAGTAGTAACCGCGACAGAGAAAGCCGATAATCGCAAAAGACAGCCATCTGGGTATGGCCATTGGCATTCATGCTTCACAGTAAACCCCAGGAAGTTGGAAAAAGATGACTAGCGCCGATCTTCCTCTGTAGTTCGTTTGATCTGTGCGGTCAATGCCGACTGAATACGAAATGACTTCCTTGTGTTAGGAGTTTGTATCCGAATAGCTGCTGCTGATCTAAACGAGTTCACCAGCGACAACTCAAAAAACAAACTTGGGAAGTCTGCTCCAGGATTTGAGGATTCAACTTGGTAAACGCTGCCCCAAAAAATCCAAGCAGCAACAAATTTAGGCAACAAGTAGCAACAAGGATACTTGCAGCACAAAGTTTGTATGAACAGCTGGGCGTCTGCAAGCAGCTGGCTTCCCCAGAGACTCGCAGTTTGCTGTCCAGGAGAACTTCTCCATCACACACTCCACGCAGCACCCTGAGTGGCGACTCACAATGACCCGGGTCAACCGGATACTATGGCGTACATAGTGCTTGCACCCATGATGCTAGCATTACTTTTATCGCGGTTATGATTAATATTAGCGAAGCAATAGTTTTT